CCCCCCCCCCCCCCACCAGATATGTGTGCATTTCGTATATCTTCCTATCTTTTATCGAAAAAAAAAATCAATTTTACGTACATCAAGAAATTTAGTAATTTATATTAAATTTTATTATTTTTATAATTTTTTTTATAATTTTTATTATTATTAATGTTAAAAGAAATAATGCAATTAAAAGACCATGTATTAAAAGAGGGATATTTTAGGTAAATTATTATCAAATGAAATGAAATTAAGTAGTTGAAATTTGTTTATATTTAAGAAGAAAAAAAAAATGTGTGTGTGTGTTTTTACTTATAATAGAGAATACACGGAGTATATAATTTATACATGAGTGTGACTATGACTAGTTTTACTTTGGTCCACATTTATAGATCATTATTTATAACCATTGAATTTATCTTGTACATACAATATTACTAACAACTTCATGTACTAGATTATATTGGGGTAGCTTTGACAACCCAAAATCTGATATTCTTGCGTTGTAAAGCTCATCAAGAAGTATATTTTGTGGCTTTATGTCACAATGTATGATCTGGGTGCAGCATTCCTCGTGCAAGTAAACCAACCCTCTTGCAATCCCAACGGCAATCTGGACTCTTTGGTTCCATTTTGGTTTGAAATCTCCGAAGAGGAAGTTTGCTAAAGTGCCATTGCTCATGAACTCATACACCAGAATGCGGTGTTCTCCCTCATCACAATATCCAAGTAGGCGAACCAAGTTTTTGTGATGAGTTTGTCCAATCACATTCACTTCTGTTTTGAATTCCTTATCGCTGTCTTTGAGTATCTTGTGCAATTTCTTTACTGCAATAGTAACCAAATCTGTTGTTCCTTTAAAGACAATGCCACAAGACCCCCTTCCCAATTCTTCTTTGAAGTTATTTGTTGCTTGCACAAGCTCTCCAAAGGTGAAACTGCGCAAATTGCTCTCTGCAACAGCTTTATTGGTAGAACTTCTTCTGTTGTAGTAAAAATAGAAACCGATACATACTGCACTGACCAGCATGAGATTCACAAAGACAGAACCTCCTAGAAGGACTGATATCACAGTTATCAAAGTATCTTGATCTTTTCCATTTTTCTTCTCTTCAAGGAATGGATTTGAAGGATTTGCTGACGAAACATCATTTTTCATCAACTTAATGAAAGCAGATCCCCCAACTGCTCTATCCTGTCTTCCATTTGAGAGAGGCAGCTTCTTCTTCCAGCAGCTATCATCTCTAAAAATAGAAACAGCACATAAACAATCTTGCAGGCAAGAAGTCTTGCAGTCTTCTGAATTGTAAGGTTGATACAATTCGTAATCTAATTCTGGCCAATCAGTATTTGGCATTTCCTCCATGTAGTAGAGATCTCCTTGAGAGCTTTGTCCACTTCCTTCACAACGGACTTCCAAATTTGGTTTGCAGCTGCCATACTCATCGGTTGAATCAAGAAGAGAATAACCTTTTGGGCACTTGCACTTTGGTCTTTGATCAGTATCAAGAGTGCAGATACTATTGAATCCACAGACACCACTACCCTTTTTTCCTACCAAATCTGTGCAAATGTTGTCTGGCAATGTCTTAATAACTGTCCAGCCTGGATTTGAACCTGGATTTTTTGGGTAACGAGATATGGTGAAAACTCCATCAAAATTGATGGTTGCTCTGTAATAATAGGAATCAGATGAGAGCTCATCTTTCGAATTTGTAATATAAACTCTCTCATCGCTCCTCTTCAATATATACAATCCTGAATTATCAAAAATCACACGGTAACCGGAGTTTGTTGTATTGGTCCCATCAAATGTGTGACTGATGTAATAAGCATCATAAGTATAGTTGGTAGGCAAATTTATAGGATTAAGCACAGCATTACCATCCGGAAGCAAGCGAAATTGGAACCTTCCTCGTGAGAAATTTGTCTCTTTCTGTCGAGAAGAAAGCGTGCCTTTTACCTCCATGATTTGAGTTGGCACCAATGTATCAGTTGGATTACTGAAACTTTCCCACAACACCTGCAAATTCTTATCCAGAAGCTGGAAGTTGCCTGTGTCATTTATTAGTCCATAGGAAATTGTACCTGATATGGTTTGTGATGTCCATAGCTCAACACCTTGAGGACTCTTCAGCACTAGTCCGCTGTATTCATTTAGCTCAAGTTTTGATCCTTTAGGAGCCGGGTTGTCTCCATTTGCATACCAAATCAAATTATCGTTTGGTACTTTTTGGTACCATATGGCAAGCAAGAAAAGGTCATTCTCAAGCTGATGAAATCCGAATGCAATCTCCTTTGATGAAGAAAGCCATTGCGCACCAACGTTTCCTGCAACAAGTGTCTCACCAATGGTAACATTATTCTGAGTCTGAGCAGAGACGTGTGGCACTTGCAGCAAGGGGAGAAGGATAACAGTAGCACAAACAAGAATAGTAACACTCATCTTTTGCTTGACATGTATTGGAATTTGAAGAAATGGTTCTTTTCTGTACTTTGTTGTAGGTGAATTAACTGCTATAAAGTTTAGTTACGTACAATTACACGCCTCATGCAACGCATGCTACAAGTGATTCTTTACATTTTATTGTTGAAATCTGAAGCGCGTCTTTGACTTGTTAGTAGTAATGACATTTCAAAGTCTTTAAAGCATATATATTTGTTAAACGTGAGACAACTGTGCGGTGTTAAATTGTATTGATGCATGTTTATTCAGAAGTCATCTAACTTCTGCAAGACGTTAAAATGACTTTGAGATGTCACGACAATGTCTATGCCTCCGTTTAGATCAACCGTAGAATAAGTTAGGTTTATACTCAGTCAAGGAGAATAACAACCTCATACAATCTAGATACATTATCCAAATCAAACATGTTATAACTTACAATTAAACAATATGTTTGCAAGTACGAGAATAAACGCTTACCAATTTCATATTTTGGGGAACTGAGTAGTTATTTGCTTATTTCTCTCATTTTAAAAGTTTCTCAAATAAAGTAAAAAGATTTATCTTTCCTCCATTCAAAGTTCGGGTTAATCTCGAAGGCACTGGGAAGCTGAAATGAATAGCATTTCTGACTTAAATATGCATTTAACAAACTTTGACTGACGTCGTCCATAAAATCTAATTATGATCTAGATTGTCATTGCTGTGACATAGACTCCAAATTTACACAGAAGGGTCAGCAAAACAAATAACACATCAATTTAGCTCGTAAGTATTAATTCCAAAAATAATAGAAATCATATTACGTGATTCTTCAAATATTAAAAGATCTTTCTAACTATTTCCTCAACATAAGATAATATATCAACGTAAGAACTAGACTGACAAATTTCATTACTTTAAAAACTATCTAAGACTAAGAGAGAGAATAACACTTAAACGCTCAGTGTTGTCCAGTATTGAACACAGAACCTTGAAATAAATAGATGAAGCTGTCGATGATATTTTTGGATTAGGTTTCCGATTTTCTTGGCGAGGATAAAGAATATAGATTTTAGTCCTCTAATATTTGAATATATAATTTTAGTTCTTCGATCTTATAAAATTTACGATCTACAATTTTAATCCTATAATTAGATTTTGACTTGCACTATGCTCGAATTTATAAATAATTATATATGATATAATTTGATGTATTATAAATATTTTTCAAAATATTACTTAAATATAAAAAGCATAATATATATATATATACATATATAT